TTTCCAAGGTGAGGGTATTTTGTAACTGCTACTAGCAAAACAATGCCCAAACGTTTGTAAAACTAACGAGCGAACGTCTTAGAAACAAGGATTCGGAGTGTCTGCTGTAAAAAGACTGACCATGCGTGGTAACGTCAAAGCCAGAAGTTACACCATCAGGATTCTTCTCGCTAGGACAAACTCAATCATGTAAGACTGCCACTTCTCCTTCCACGAAGCGTCATTCTGCTCCCTTCATTTCCTGACAGCAGATCTTACTTCAGTGGCTGGAGAGTTGGTCCCAAAGGCACCATGGCTTGCGTTTCCTACAGGCTCACTTTCCGAAACACCAATATTGAAGCTGTCAGCGGCACGTGCTCATACAGCCACTTGTCGGCCACTTCCTGCCACACATTAAACAGTTCCGTCTCTGATGGAGTGAACAGAACCACATTTCATATTCCATACGCTTGTATGGTTGTTGCGAATAACGACAGCACTAGAGCATACTTGTCCGCTGAGAAGAAAAATTATGATGAAAATGAGTTGCGCTAAAATTTATGGATATCTAATATACCTTATTGAGAACCAGTATTTGCCAGAAAAACGAAACATTATACTTGTTCAAACTATGACAGTGAATTGTTTATCATTCATAAATTATTCCGTAAGCTTTAAAGTAAGGCTTTCTTAAAAAATGGAAAGAATACTTCGAAACAACGTGCAATTTGTTTTATCTGATAGAAATGAAAGCTACAACCAAAAATGGCGCGAAAAAGCAATTTTTATACAACATTTATTTGTATTCACACACAACTAAATGCATTTAACAAGTGTAATTCTGAAATGTTACAGACTGGGGTATACGTCAGAAATTATTTGAACAGAAGGGCAGTCAGTGTACATTGCGGGAGTGAAGGCACGAAGTATTGATATTGTAGAATTAACTTTATTCTACTGTGCAGCCGCTTATGGCTCAAAGCCCGATAAGCAAAAGAAGTGTTGTAAACTATAAAGCTAAGCGACACAAGACTACCTATGCGTACTTTGGTATATTGTGTAGTATCTAACTAAATATGATGAACTCTTAAGTAAAACTGTATAAAATATAAGATCAAGTCGTATTTGTGAATAAATATTACTAAAACTCATTATTCAATTTCTGTAGTGCACATTGGTGTATTATACTAAAAACATTTTAATATTAGTAATAAACGACCATACAACATTAAAGCTTTGTACTAACAGTTATGGTTTGTGTTTTAGTGGAACACTCCTGAAGAAACTGGAAAGCGAAACGCTGAATGTCCAATTAAAGGAAAATAACAAATTTGGTGGTTTAAGGTTGTTTATTACTAGTATTATCAAATCTGTTGTTGCATTAAATGAGAAATTACAATAAGCTGTACCTTCTTAGTTCATCTTTTAGATCTTCAATAACTGACTACTTCAAAAACCTGTTGCAATTAATATAATACAATTTTTTTTTAAACAGCCCACAAAACCGACATGGTGGTGGTGACTTACGAAGCTAATGCGTCTGTCATTGAAAATAATAGTCGGGTGCTTCTCCCCTTTCCTTCTTCAAAAGATATAGTTTGTTGTTCGAAATCCCCAAATCAACAAACAAGCCCTAAGTATTACCACAGAAATGGTACGCGAGCCACAAACTCTCGAATTCGTAGTCCAACACATCACCCACTAGAATACGCCCTATCTTATCATCAGATTAGACTTAAATATTTTTGGCATAAAACAATGTGTATGGACATTCCTGTAGAGACTGGTTTATTAGAAATCCTATATTTAGTGATATCATTAGTTAAAATGTGCGAGAAACTAAACTAAAATTTCTTATGCATTTGATTAATTATTGCTCATGTTATGTGAACTGAGTATTTTCCCACGAAATCGAAAGTAATGTCGCTGACAAGAAACACACAATTATGTTTATCAGGACATCGCTGCTAGAAGTACTCTACATACACCCCCTATCCACTTAATCACAGAAAGTCTTCTTAAACTGAAAATGTTTCGCGGCAAATAACCCTATGGAGAGCATTCCTAGGATATCAACTGATAACACAATAGGCGGGATCTTCGTACACAATGGAATTTTCACTTGTACATTGAAATTTGCCCTTAACGACATTTCTAACGACCGGGAGTTATTACTAACTTCATTAAGATGGAAGTCGTTTCAAGCACATAAGAAAACACATTATTGATTTTTAAAAAAATCGTTTGTGTTTTTCAAAATTAGTTTCAACATTGTCCACCATTAGATAATCAGTTTAGTAGAGTATTTTAAAGTCTAGTTTTACTCGTTGACAGGTACAAGTTTTGAAACCAAATTGTTTCAAATATTAATTTGGGCGTTGAAACAATATAATTTGGTTTATTTCAACTTGCACTTAGAAAATGAAGGTTTACATTTTAATTTATAAGAAATTCATAAGAAAATTACAATTATGAATCTTAGGTTTTAAATAAACTTGATATACTCTCATACACACAAACACACACTTTTTTTATAGAAAATATTAGAAAAAATAAATTAATAATAACACAAGTCTGTTTCTGCGTTTTTGTTTGTTTTTATCCTCAAGAGAGAAGCGGCGGTTTTTTTTTTTGTAAAACCACCTTTAACAATTTCACCAAACAACAGATTATCCTTTTTGTAACCATTACAGTAACAAGTATAGGAATGTTAGAACAATTCTTTGTTTGAATGAGAACATTCGAGTAACAGCTTAAATTTCTGGCAAATAAAACTTAACAATATTTAAGGCTTGGGAACAAACAGTAAAATTTTGAAATTCGGAATGCACTCGGATATCTATCATACGAAGTTTAAACTTCGAAAAACGATTTACTCATTTGAAAAATAAAAGGACGAAAAGTTCAGTTAAATTAAATCATGCCGAACTGAAATTCTATTAAACAAAAGGGAAAATTTTTATACTGTAAAAAAGAAATTGTATTTGTTCACTCCGCTGAAATGTCTTGACAATTCAATCAAAAGATTTAGCTATAGTAAACATCTTATATTGTAAAAACTTATAAAATATCTATTAATTTTTTCATGTTAAATTATATTAAGATACTTATTTTGCTCACATAATTGTAGGTCAGAATGGTAGTGTGTGTGTTACCGTTTATTTGTCGATTAAACCAAATACCGTAAACAATAGAGGGCGCTGTACTTTTATCCAATTAATGAACTAAAAATGAGAATGATTCCTTACATAGTCGAATTTAAGTATGAGGATATATTCGTGTAAAGATATTCACGCAAAATTTAATTACATGAAAAATATATTAGACAACGAAACAAAAAAATGCTACTTTGTCAAGAACACATTCGCATGCATAAGATAGATATGAAAGTGTCATCACAAAAATACACTCCATATGATGTGCCAATTCTTTTTTTTATTTCTGTTGACCAAAAAGGCGAAATTAACAAATGATTGGAATTTACGATAGAGAGATACATCTGTTTAAGCAAACTTTTTATCTCTATATCTTGATTGTCTAACACAGCTGTGCTAGACTTATTTTGGATTGCAATTTTGCGTCTATTTATGATATTGAAGGGCAGACAAAAAAAATGTCATATTTGTTTCTCTCTTATAAATACCTCTCCATAATAAAAATGAACTTATAATTACTACACGAAAATAATTAACAAATTAATCGAAAAGTCTGAAGTTTCATCTACTAAAAGCAGGAAAACTGACTATATTTGTAACTAGTGCTAAAAAAATCATTTTTTAATAAAGGAAAACACAGTTAAATTGCCAAATTAAAAACGCAGTATCCGTAATTTTTATGTGGTAGACAATTTTTTTTAATGTATGTTAACACCGTTAGACGGAGTATTTCATTACAGGCTGTAAGAACGCGTACACGTTTACTGTAGTTGTTCTTTGTTGGAAAATTTAGCACTGATGTTTGATACATATTTCCTGGATTAACACGAGTTAGTTACTCGTTAATAATGATGTTCTTTTTAACTTCAGTAATGTAAACATCATTAAGTATGATTAGCAGAATAATGTTATCAAATAAGTATACATTCATAAATTATTACTTCACGTATATAACTAATCAATATATAACTTTTGTATGTGATCCTATGTGCTAACTTCTTAATCAGAATTAATAGTGGGTTTGTGAACGTGATATATGCTGTGACAAGCCCAAAAATAAATTATATTTTGAGAAAACTGATAAAAAAATATTGGCAATAGAAAAATTACTTATTTTATATCCAAGTTCAATGAACAATCAACCAATTCTTCAATGTATTTTATAAGCTGAATTGAGAAATCATTTCCCTGTTTTAACTTTCTTAAATTCCAATACAAAATTGAATAACTTTTCTGTTCCATTTCCATTTTTCACTTATATATATATATATATATATATCAATTTTGAATATAGTACTTGTATCCAGATAGAAAATCCTTGCTTTTTATACTATAATAATTTAAATCTTCAAGATAGTATATTGTAAATAATATTTAGTTGACTTGTAATTATTTTTCTGCCAAGAAAGCAGTTCGTTAATCAGATTTACAACGCAACGATAAGCACGTCAACCATAAATATGTATATTTTTTTTTCATTTAACAACGACTTTTAAAAGTCAAATCAATTAAGCCACGACTTTATTTCATGATACGGCATTAAACGAGTAATTCTCGATCATACACACCATACTACTGCAACTGTCAAAACAAACTTAGAATATCCTTCGAAGATATTGTCTATAAAATGTTAATGGGTACGACTATCTGCCTTTTAATAATTATCTGGAAAGAGATTGTGTAACTGATGTACAACTTTTATGAAATCCATATGTTTATGTTCTAGTCTTAAAAGTGATTTGAATTTGAAAATAAATACATATATACACAAGTGTACTTTAAGTGGATTTACAAATTACACTAAAATAAATAATAATAATACCTCAAATAATAAAGTTTAAAAGATAATGAACTACCTTAACTTACCAGCATAACAATGTTTGAAGAAAGCGTGGTTTTCAAGCCATGGTTTGTTTTGAATTCTTTACAAGTGCTACAGTTGAATGTTACTGGAGGATCAACATGCACACATTCCAAAGGCTCGTTTGATAATTGGCTACTAAATGAATTACGACTGCTAGAAGATTGAGAGTAAGGGGTTGTAGAATTAAACTGAAGGTCATTCAAATTTGGAACAGAGAAGCTATGTTGATGAAAGAAGCCATAGTTTGTTTCTGTCACTTGTTCAGATGACCTGCCCAGAAAGTTTTCTGTTTTTTTACAGTTCTCCGGACGAGACAAAGACTCTTCGGGTACATAACCAAGTTTTCCACTGCTTCTGCTTCTTACAGTATTGTTAAATTCAAGACCATCAACTTTTAAATGTGGTAAAGAGCTCCACAAACACTGCATGTTGTGTTCTGGTAGAGATAAAGGAGACTGGACAGTCAGATCATTCATGTCGTTAGTTTGTTGGACGATAGTGGATAGATTCATCTCCTGGGAAGTTATCCGTTTCTTTGGGGAATCAACCGGCGGGGCGGTAGTAATGGATAAACTCAGTTCTTGGCCAGCTGGCTGACTCTCCGAGATTCCTTTTTGTCTTTGATAAAATGAAAGAACAGCTTTTTTCTGTGTAGTCCTTAACTCTGGGTCTGACACACAATGTTTCTTATCTGGATCAAGGTACAATACTCTTTGTATGGCGTCATCGGGTTCTGAAACAGAGCTACGAGCACTACAATTAGGTAACACAGGGGTCGACACAATTTCCATTTCACTAATTGTAGGAAATTGTTCTGGGTTTATTGTTTTTGAAGAGTTATTGATACTACCGAAAACATGTGCCGTACCTTTTACTAAACTGTTTACTTCTCTACGATTACTATTAGGTCGTTCTAGCAATGTTTGTGCTCTTGAAAAACCAGCAAAAGGCGACGAGACAACTGAAGGTTTAATTGACTTTCGTTCTTCTACTTGCTGCTGAAGCATCTTGATTCTTTGTGCCACGCTAATTCCCGAAATCTCGTGAGTGTTCAGGTGCTCTTCTTTAGAAGAAGAGATACGAACACTCTTAGAACTTCTGCTGTAAGAATGCTTTAAGCCTGGTGCATAGTAAAGCACACTTTCCGAATCATGTCTCTTGGCAGGTTGAACCTTGGAACTATGAGCTATACTTTCTCGTTGCAATCCATGTCTTGATGGCACATGGGTTCGAATACTAGTTTCCATACGGTTAGTAGATGTACTTCCATCACACGATGACTGAGGAGTCAAACGTCCACTATCTGGCATTGTTGATAGACCACTATCAAATAACGACGAGCGGTTTGACATTTGGATACTAAATGTACTCAGGTCACTATACGATCCGTGCCATTTTAAAGTTTCCTGACTACTTCCGCTGCCACTGCTTTCAACAAGAGTTCCTGCTTCACTGGGTGTTTCAAGAAAATCGCTTCCAGGTGGTGGTGGCCAGGTTGCACTAAACGCTTGGCATTCTAATCGAAGTCTATCTAAAAAAGGAGTTTCATTTTCAAGGGATTCTGGCATCTTGAAATTATGAAATTCCACATCTTTATCTGTATTACTATAACATGTTATTTGGTTTTCACAAGCTGAAGAATAATATGCATTATAATGCTTTATAAAGTCGTCATATTTATTCCAATAAGGTTCCGTGTCTTTCAGTGCCAAACTATCTGGCATCTGATTAATAGGAACGTCACGTTCTGGCGGAGAGTGAATGTTGTATTCTTTGTCACCATAGCACATAGGAATATAAGATGGACGATTTCCAGTATCCTCTTCAACCTTCTCTGAAGTGCTTCTGCATAATGCTTGTTTCAAAGACGAATCAATTTCGGCTATAGTTGTTTCGCCATCTAATGTCCTATTACTTAACGGGATTGGAACAGTACTTTCATTGTTTACAGCCCGTTTTGTTCCGTAGCCGTCTATCCTCTTCTCTAACACAGGCTGAAGTTGATTGGTTGAAATCTTAAAAGACTTTTTAGGCCTCGAGTATACTGCTCGCACTTTTGGATAGTCCGTCTGATCCGTCCAAGAATGCGATCGGTAGCTGGTCACTGTGACGGGTAAAGAAGAAGGCGATAATTCTGGTGATTCAGAAGACACGGGCCAAGATGGATATTTTTCATGAGTAAGTCCTGATCTTTGGTGTATCATACTGGATTTTCTAATAGGTGGCGGAGGAGGGGGTGGAGAATTTTCCCTGTTCGTTTTTTGAGCATTTATTGTCACATCAAGGGATAAGTCGGAAGAAAATGAGAAGGATTTAAGATTTTCTTTGTTTATTTCTGATCGTTGTTTCTTGGAGTCATGAGTTTGATAGGTTAAGTTCTCTTGAGAAAAGAATATTTTGTTTTTGGCACTGAATTCTGAAGACTTACTTTCTTTTAAGTTACTGATGATGCTTTGGCAGTGTCCAGTAAAATCAATAGACTGACGACCACCTGAAGACTGAGGAATGGAAGTCAAGCTTTTGGCAGATTCGTTTCTTTCCCAGTATGGCCTTCCTTGGATAACTGGGGCAAAGTCTAAACCACTTTTAGAAGCCAGGGCTTCGTATACAGACCCTTTCTTCTTGAATCTTCTTGTCACCATGTCTGTATCTTCATCCAGAGATGGGGTGGTAAAGAATGTGTTTACATACGAGTTGGTGGCTTGTGAATTCAGTGAGGGTTCACTGTGAAGATCACTTGGAACAGCGTGTTGAAGTTCGTTTGGATTAGAATCGGAGACTAGTTGGCTGCTACGCCAATTTCCATAAGATTCTAAACAAAGATAGCAGTTATTTAGTAGAATACGACATTTTTCATGTTCTTTGTGTGCAGTAAAATACTGCTGCAAGCGACTGTCCAAGGTTGAATGCAATAAGTACTGTTCTTTGGGGCCCTTTCTTCTTTCTACGGATGAATTTTGACTTCGACGAACACTTGGCACTTCAGATTGATGACTGAAACCAAGAAAGAACTGCAGTTACTAATCAAAACCACAAACGCTGAAACTCTTTATCGCTATAGCGGGCTTCTAGTGCCATATGGGGGTTATCAATTCATTATCAGTAAAACAGTGTGGACTGAAAACTAGACTAAAAAGTTAACAAGTTCGAAACAAAAGGAGATAAGAGAGAGAAAGAGTTACTAAAGGGGGACTGTAGTTAAACTTTTAGACTAGTTTTATCTGAACACTGGTTTCTTTGAATTTAATTAGTTACTAGACATGTACGTTTTAAAAATCATGAAAAAATCTCCTCATTCCACTTCTTACAAGTTGAAGAAACAGGTGATTCAAACAAAACCTTTTACTTAGCATGAGCAGCTATATATATATATATATATATATATACACACACACACACATACTCACACAACTATTTTAAAAACTTAAGCACAAAAAGAAAATACTGGTATGTTAAAGTAGTTTTGTGTCAAATACTATTTGTTATACAAGTTTAGTGATGAGTTACCTGTTCTGAAAACACTATTTTGAAAATAGTCACATATGTAAAAAAATTCAAATTATAAAATCATACTTGAAAACATGACAGAGAAAAAAGTGAAGGGAAACAAAACTGCTCAAAACAACTCATTCTCAAATGACAAATGATGGGTCTAAGTAAGAATGAAAAAACAAAATGCTACGTTATTTTGCTACATAAAATTCTTAGTGTTCGTTAAGATTAGACTACACTGACTTTAATCAAATGAATCAAAAGCAATAACGTTAGAACAAACATTCAAGCTGTCACCGATATTACTTTATGAGAAGATTTATGCGTTCTAAAATAAAAACCCGTGCTAGTATTAGCAGTAGAGAGATTACTTTCTTATTTGTAGCACAACTGAAGTTTGAATTTTCCGACGTGGAATTTGTTTCTAAACTTCTGGGCGTAGATGGCTGTAAAGAATTTTAAGTTTACTCTTATATAGTGCGCTTAATAGTTAGCATAATATGCTCATTGGAAAATTGCCCAACTGGCTATGCCGAGTTGTGAACATATTTCACTAACATTTGTATTAAAAACGTGCTGGATAACTTGGTCTTTGATTAAATTGAAAATTATACATTTTTACTATGCTTGAAAAACAAAACTCGTTTTCCCGAATGTTATGGTCCAAAATTTTGTGACTGAGGGCATTTTACTCTCAAGGTAATTGTTGATAATGCTTATAACAATATTAGACCTTTAGGTTTACTTGGTGTGCTATTTTCTAGTTGATATTATTTAAGTGCCATAATTAATACTTTTGAGCGGTGTGTAAGCATTTATGGCTTAATATTAACACTATATGGTTACGTTTCCTATTTATGATCTGAATTAAGTTAGATCACTCAATTATATACAGTGAAAAAATAAGAAGAATTCAAAATTTGTATTCCCAAAGCGTAAAACGACACAGAACGCGAACCATGGACCCTACGATTCAGAGTCTAGCATGTTAACTTCTAGGACAAGTTCAACCCATTGACAAAAATGTCACTACTTACGATCGGATAAACAGTATCAGTTGGTTTTGCTACCACGATGTATAGTTTGCATAAATTATAAGCGTTTTAAAACAGTACTTCTTAACTAATGTAATAAATTGTCTTAAACTTCACGTTTAACACACAAGGATATTAGACAGAGACTTTTCACAATTTTTAAATTGTGATAGAAATGGAAAGAAAACTCGGAACTAACGAGAATAAATGGGCACTTTCTAACAGTTAGTTAAGAGCAAGGGTATATGAAAGAAAATAATGTCTGTGATACATTAAGAAAAATCACTTTAACCTCTCCTACCTTCCACCGGCGTCTTAAGTTTTAACAAAAGATTTGTTGGAGCAACGTTGGTGGTCTTTTTGTCTGCTTGATCAAATTCTCAATAGAGCCGTAGGCACAACGGTGGGGATGGATAAGAATAAATGCTGCATTCCACAGATTCTAATTTACGATTTACAAAACAAATATTGGCGAAATTGATCAACACATTATTCCGGTGTAATGTAGCAGAACCATAAACATACAATTCCAACATCTCTTGACTAAACACAAACCTCGATTCTTTGTTAATCTAAACACTGAACGCAAGCAGGTAAACAACGTGACCTATTGGAAAAAGATAACCGTACGTTCCACACTTTTGGATTTCTAGTAATCATTTAACCCTAAAGGACTTTGAAACCGGGCAACAGGATACAGTCTTCAATTTTTGTAGAGATGGAAAATAAGATCGTAAATTATGTGAATATTCTATAGAGCACACTATACAAGAAATTTGCTAAACCTGTTAACACTAAAATATAAAGCAGTCTTTTCCCCTATTCTACAGATTCTTTGGTTAAAAAACAGACGGTTATAAATACTCCACACGTTAGAAGAAAGCTACGTGAAAGTGTTGGAACTAAAGAAGACCTACAAGTTACAACAGCGCCATTGTTGTTTCATCTATAACCAAGGCGACACCCGCTACAATAGCGGTGTAAGAGTGAATATAAACATTTGTCAGGAAAAATTACATACTTCACAAATGAAACAAAATAATATTTAAATAAAAAAGAAGCATCATCCATGACGTTCCCTTAGGGAAAAGTTGAATCATTTTAGAGCTATTACTGATGTTACGATGAGTTTTTGCTTTGTACTATTATGTTAAACCCATAATTCGCCGAAAAATGTTAAGGTATTAATCAGTGAACTGAGAAGATGTAACAAAAGGTGTTCGTTAGCGTATTATTACAATCACACAATATAGTTCGCAAATTGCCATTTCCTGTTTCTCTCTCTCACCGTGGGAACGAGTTTTCTCAAAAACTGTTTAATGATTTTTTACTTTAATATATTAATAAGTCACTCAAAATTACAATTTGATTATAGTTGTCTGCAACCTTTCGTTCAATGTCAAACATATTTCATGTACAGTCAATCCTAAATTTGGCCTACATCGATACAGACTTAACGTACTGATTGCGGGTAGTAACGTCATTATTTAATTTTATCTCGCACGCACACACAAATTGTAGTTTGGAGTGACTTAGTTAAAAGGTAACAAATCTTACAATCGACCTAGGTACACTGTTTAGCTTAGTTTTTGGTAGTTCTAGGTGTTGTAAGTTTATAGATGAATACAAACTTGTTTTATATTACTACTTACAGTTTCCAAAGATGAATAAAAAAAGCAATTCACGTTAGAGCTAATTGGAATGCTCAGCTTCACATATTCTTTCTTAATACTTTAAAAAACTATTCCAGAAGTAATTCGGCAAACATAAAATCGTAGGTATGTATTAATAATTACATGCCATGCTGAATAAAAGTGGAGGTTAAGACACCTTAGACGGTGGAACTTATACCTTTACGTTGCTTGTTAACTGAATCTGTCTACGACAAAGAACTATAATAACAAGTTGTGTTTGTGAAACACCTGTGTCCCCACAAATATTATACTGTATGTTTAAGCCCCTACCCCCACGAAATATCTGATTGACCTTCACCTTCAAAAGTTAATCGGGCCTAGAACTTTATATTTTAAGTGTCTGTTGTACAAGTGTTGTTAAAATCAAACCATTCAATCTTGAGATACCCTGCCCACAAGATTGGGACGGACGGACGAACGAAAAGAGCTAACCAACATGCTCCAAGAAGTAGGGGCATAAAACTGGAAATCCTATAACTAATATACTGCACTTCCAACATAAAACGCAAGTATTCCAATTATTCACAATATATTTACATACTAGCTGGAGTACCCGTCCCCTGGATGGAACCTTATATAAATTCATGATTAATGAAAGGTTATATTTGGACATTAAAAGTTGCTTCCCTTATAGATAATTGTAAAAAACACAAAAGGCCTATAAAAATTGCAAAACATAAACCTCCACACCAAATTTGGTGAAGATTATCCGTAGGATGCAAAATAGTGGTAAAAACCGCAAAAAAGCCCATAAAATCCGCAAAACGGAAAATGCACAACTGAAAATTTGTATGGACCTCATGAACCTTCATACTAATTTTGGCGAGGATTCATCCACACCCTGCGAAGTAGTTATATGGACATATGACAGACAGTACTATCATATTTATATAGAGTCAACATAAACAATACAAGTTAAAGTACAAATGACGAAACAGTAGCAACAAAACACTTGGATGTATTTAAGAAAGCGATAAAAACAATAAACAGATCAAATATACCCTTGGAAATACTTTTACTGATGTACATTACCATTACTGTGTTGCGGTGTATACATTTTGATCCTCCACTTCGAATTTATACCATATCAAATAGTTTTTGTTTTTAAGTTATGATTGTTCTTCAACAGCACCATAAAAGTTGCCATGGAGGCGAAAGAACACTTGAAACAACAAGTTTGCTATCTTTACAACAGCTATAGCTCGTTTACTGACAAAAACATCAGGAACTTCGCTCGAAACGGCAACTCACATAAAAACTTCGTGATTTGATACAAGAAAAACTTGCTTTATAGGGAAAGATAAGAACGTTGTCGTATCAAGACGGAGAGTGGATATAAGACATTCAACTGGCTATCTAGCTGAATACTATAGACAACCTCCTGATGATATTAAAACAATGGGTTTGTAGCGAAAGTTATCTGTATAAAGCTTACAGAAAAACCGATCCAATAAAATGTAAGTGAACTTTGGCATTGTATGTATAATATGAGCTCAGTGTTCAAGTTCCGATATTCTAGCACTACAGGATTTATGTTTCGTGTAAAATTTTGACTTTCTCGAGACTCCCATGAAAAGCCATCATGTTCACAATATCTTGCAAATAGGTATTTATATCACTTAGAACTCCAAAAGAGGACACTTATCAGTTCAATATTACCACTAATGTCAATAAACTGAGTGACTCTCTAACATAGTCATTAACAGTATATGCAAAAAAATATGTTACATTCCCACAATATCTTCATATAGAGGGAGCCTATTCCCATTAAGGG